TTTGCATTCTATTAAGATTTATTTATGTTATTCTAAGTTTACAGTCGTTACATGCCTCAAACTCAAATTACACAACAGTAGAGACCATGATTAATAGTTTTTAGTTAGATATTTACTGATTTTGTCTCGTGTAATAATAGAACTCGGTATAACATTAGCATCTTCAGGGGGATAAATACATGATCGTGTGGTGGCAATATCGCGATTTAAATGGTAGGGAAAATAAGTTCTTCCGCTGATGACTTATTAATGAAAGGTGTGGATAATTTTGACAACTGAAGTACCGGGAATGATGATAATAATGATAATAATAAAAATAATATGAAATAAAGTGATAATAATAATGATAATAATAATAATAATAATAATAATAATAATAATAATAATAATAATAATAATACCTGGGAACTCGAATGATGGCGGATTGATACATCGTCGGTTATTTAACTGGATTATGTTGTCAATGGGTGAATTTTATAAACAAAATCTTAGTAATTCTTGTAATTCTTATATAAGTATGTACTATAATGAACACTTGAAGTAAATGAATTAATCTATTGTGGTTGAATGTGGGTTCGCCAAGTCCGTACACTTGCTAGTTTATTATATTGTAAATAATAAAATAATTCCCCATATGTGGCAATATTTTGGTGTTTACATTACCAGTCACTTGATGTCCTTGAGCAGTGCTGTGCTGAGGGTGAAGGTGGCAGTACGTCAAGTTGCTTTACCCTCCACCACCATACAGTCACAGTAAATAATCGTGAAATTGTTTTTGTGTTACAGAATTATGAAGTGTTGCGAAATTAAAAGGATATCTGATCGCATTGATAACACATTAGGGTAAGTAAAGGAATACAGGACAGTTAATAATTACTAACGTAGTGAACAAATGCTATAATAAGAAGGTTTAATTAAAGGTAAAGTGTAATGCTGTTAATAATTACGTATTTTCATTATAGGTAAATGTCATATCGAATATTTTCTTTCACGTAATGTTTGTTGTCAGTAAACACAAGCACCATTTAATTAGTTTGTTAACAGAATATACTTGTTTATTGGTCGAAATTATCGTCTCCTTGCATTCATATATGGTATAAATATTTCCCAAGATGATTAATAGTAATTATAATAATAAGATAGAGTAATTTAATGTGCCTTTGAAGATTGTTATATATACCTTCATTCATCCCTAACTCTCACTAGTGTCTCGTGAACTTGGCTACTTTCTATTCACTCTTCTTGAGGAAATTCGTGATGTTAAGTCCAATTTTGGCCATACTTGTGACTGCTAAATAGTTTGTGATATTTTACATTATTATTTAAGTTTTTGTTAGTGGTTAATAGACGTATATTGTTTTTGTTTTAATTACTGCCCAGCCTATCCTATATCAATAACGAGCCTCTGGAAACTAACTACCTCGTTACTGAATTTAACAACTATGCCAATTGGACGCGTGAAAGGGAAGTGTTTGGGTGCAAGACTTGTGATTGGTTTAGTTAGGAGTACTCGGGTGTTAATTGGTTGGGTCGGTAACTACTTCATGACTCGTGCGTAGTTCTCACCACTAGTATGTGTCTGTATACGCACCTAACATACCTTAACCTTGATTTTACCAATCTTTAACCTAACACAACCTCACATAACTTAACCTACTTTCATGACCGCTGTTTATGCATCAATTACTTTCATTTAAGAACCATTTCATGCAACAAAATATACAAGAAAAACGTGATTTTTTTTCTTGGTGGACTGGTTATGGGGAAATTTTCAAGTCCCTAGTCCAAAAAAATAGGTATTTAGCAGTTTATGATACAATTCCCTTATAACATTTTCAGTTCCTCCTAGACTTTGGTTATGTCGTTTTCTCTTAAAACTTTTGATAGAAAATGGTTTGCTGTCAAGGACTAACTTAAATAAAACCTAAACTCGGCTAGAAACGGTAGGTAACTAAAGCTGGGTTTTACCTTACTTAGATTAAAAATATAACTTGACCACTGTTATAAAACACTTAAGTTTACTGTCAATAAATATATAGTTAGATTTTATTTACTGTGATGATGAAGCTGAAAGGACATTACGTGTTTTGTTATCAGTGTGTGCGTTTGTCAGTGTCTTATAATTTGCAGTTCCTACTTTATTGAGTCATTATACCATCTTTATATATTGTGCCTTGAACTATGATATATTATGAACAAGTCAAATTAATTAGCTTCTGGTTATTGTTACTGATAGCGATTTTTTTTAGTGTTTTAAGATAAGAAAATAGTTTTGTTTTTACATATTTGTTTTTAAGTAAGGAAAGTTTTTGCTGTGAATTGATAAAGTGTATGATGTTTCAGACAGTGTGGAGGAGGCAGGGTGAAGGAGATGGTGGTGGTTGTAGGGTCCCACCATCCACTCTCCACTACCAAGAATTTCAATCAACCCAGAGTGTGACGTCAAGGCTTCCTCTCTACCATCAGCACAAGGTGAACCACTATATTCTGACATATTGTG